TAGTTACGCGGTAAACTCCAATTAAATGTGTTATATTTTATTTACGACTTAATTATAGATGCCAACTCCTAATTTATTAATGTAGATAAAGTGATGTGTAGAGATTTTTTTTCTTTTTTTATTTCCGTAAATAAATTACGTATAAAAAATCTAACGGATCGTTCGTTCGTATGTAAGTACATACATTTGGGAGGAAGGGATTGTTAGTAATGCGGACTGTCAGTCCCATTGCTAGCAATATACCCTATCAGGTCGCCCTAACGTGACTATGGCGTGAATATGCCGTGATATATGGCGTGAATTTATTGGGTACGGAGGAATAACTCCGAGTGTTATGTTATGTCCATGGTACTGCTCATGTCTATAGGCGATGGTTATCCCTTATCCCTTCCCTAATCCCTTCCTCCCTCTCCGGTGTCGCGGATAGAAGCCAGTAATATATATGTCGCTGTTTATAATTATTCCGTTTCCATCATAATAATGCAGTGGTCGGACCACATCACCGGGAAGTCGAATCTTATGCATATGCAAACTCGACTCACATAAATTAATGTGATAGCTAATGAGAAACGCGGAACTATACGAAACAGGAACAGTGTGGGTGCAGCACCAATCTTCATGCATCCACTTATGATTTACGACTATACGAATACCTATCGATGTGGGTATCGACTTATACTCAATACGTTATGGCCCCAGATTTTGCTTACATGCTTTTTCAACGTCTAAAAAACTTCCTGTCTTTAATTCCTTTTTTATGTCTATATGTAATTATTTATAATTTTTTGCACCAATCAAAAATAATAAATATAGTAAATTGTAATTAGAAGTGATACAAAAGACGGCCTGACCGCTAAACAATCTCTTCCAAAAAACCTTTAGATAGAGAAAATTGAGAAAAAAAATAAAGGGTAGGATAGTGGCGCACTATTTTTTTTTTATTGGTAGAAAATGGTATGGTAACCATTTTCTACCAATAAATAATGATACGCTGGCGGAGCACCAGTGAAGGGTGATAGATGAGAATGAAAACAGGTCAGTTTGCCCATCATGATGAATTCATCAGAAATTAATCATGATAATTTCCAGGGGGAACCGCGAAGAGGTCGATTTGGTTGGGTATATTGCTAGCAATGGGATTCTCAATCTCCATTACTAACAATCCCTTGCCCCCCAAGGTGGCGCACTATTATATATATAAACACACACGTACATAATAGCACACACACAACAAGAAAGAATGACAGAGGAGGATGAAGAAAGAACACAGGAAAATATACTAAAAAAAGGGATAGTAGGACCTTTACAAAGGTATATTATATACTAGTAATTCGGCCCGACTTTACACAGGTATATAGATAAATTAGTATTTTATATTAACTTTAATGGGCAAATTTTTGATATCTTGGGCAACCTGATTGTAATTTTCATAGGTATCTCTAATTTTGTTTATATATTATATATTTATGTACAGAACCTCTGGCGAATGTATTCAACTCGCACCTGACCTGTTTTATTTACCTGTGTTATAGACGAGTAATATCGAGTAAGGTACATGCTCTATTAACTTACCATTTAATAATTTGTGTAAAAAAATTGCCCTGTGATCCCGCCATAGAATAGGCCGCCCCTTCCTTTTCCATGTATGTCATAGGAGGCGACTAAGGGAGGGCGAAGGATGAGCAACAGCGTCCCTCTTAGAATAGCTCTAAAGCTAATTGTGGTTGCCAATCCATCTGTCAAGCGTGGCAACTACTGGCAAAACCCCCATGGAGAAGATTTATGTTCAGCAATGGACGGTTAAAGGCTGATTTGATGAGATACCTATCACCATCATTACAGAACGAACTTAAAAATCAAATAATACATACACTAAACGTACGATCGTCGACCGAACATGTTCGTACACCGTCCCATTTCGCATTATGATTTAAACGGCTAACAAAGTTGCAGTGGCCAGATCCTTTGCCAGCAAAATTTATGCTTCGCCTGCTGGAGCCGTAAACAACCGCGAACGGAAGCCGTGGTTTATTCAAATCTGAATTTATTTGCTTAAACTCCTTTAAATATGCAGACGAAAATCGTCGGTTCATTAATAAAGAAATAAAGACAAGACACTTGCAAGTTTAAAGATACGTCCTCAAAGGATTTAGCGTTCTGTTTATGTTTGCAGTATTTGTTGAGACATAAATCGGTATTTGCGTCGCTTGAAGCCCCTGCTGTAAATTGGATTAAGAACAGGACGCCTTACAAGTCCATTTCACGACATGGACGGGTGATATTGTTTTATTCAAGGTATATAGTGTAATGAACAATATTTAAAGAATAAAGCGTCAGCTTATATAATTTTCTCTCTTTAACTATCACAAGTGCAAGTAATCCCATCACTCCAACAGTCTCATTATGGTATTTTATGATAGGACTCACTTTGTCCCAGTAATTTTATAGAGCAAGTGACAGTATTTGGCAGTATTAAGAGTAAGTAACGCCATCTGTTAAAAAATCACTTTAGACTACCACGCATTGCTTTGACTCGTCAAAGCAATGCGTGGTAGTCTAAAGTGAATTTTAAGTGTTTTTAGTGCTAAGTATTTATTATAATGTGGTAAGAATTTTAAAACAAATTTACATAACTTATAATCGTTGGATATTCAAAATAACCTAATATATGGCTTCCTCTTTTAACTTAAACGTTAACGTAACAATTGCAGTCATTTATTTCAAATTGATAATCACAATGTTACAAAATATGATACGTACTTTTTGATGTAACATGAGAACAGCTCTCAAAATGTATTACCGTCAATTAAGAAACACGTCTAAAACAAATGGCGAGTGCCATAGCCTGGCCTGGCCTTAGTTTTTGCAATATTTATAAATGCCAAGTATCTACTCGAGTGCACAGCTATAATTTGTTTTCTCACAAATCGCTTCCAGCGTCAAACTTAAGTTGAAAGAACACTAGTTATTAATGGGACACATACTTAAACATATAATTGTAATGTATTATTGCCTTATAAAGATTATTTCCATGCTATTAATTTTTCTGATGGCTTAATTTTGAAAATTAATCGCGTGCGATTGCGGTGTCTAATTGAAACAGAGCACCATTCCGAGTTCGAACTAGCGTGTGCCAATTACTGGTCGTTTTACCCTAAGGGGAATGTTTTAGCAAAATGTTTCTGGAGTAGTTTTAAATTTATAAGGCCCGCCTCTATGTGGGTAGCTGTTTATTGTGATAGGTATCTGCTATCTAACAAATCACCATCGTAATTGTAGTGTAATTAATGTCGGTATTGTTTTATTATGAGATTGGCATACAATCGCCCACGGTTACGATGTGCGCGTCAATGGAATCTTACTATAGTGTATGCATAGGCCCCTCTTTAGAGGTCGTTAGAATAATAATTAAGAAGAGAAATAATTAATAATTAAATTCCCTATAGGTGTGAACATAAGAATTAAGTACTTTTATATTTTCGTTATATCCATTTTATAGATTTCCCTCAAAGTTTTAATTTTTTTTTTATTAATTTATTGCACAATAGAACGTTGTACAAGTGGCGAGCTTAATGCCATATGACATTCTCTACCAGCTAATTATTAGGTGAAAACAGAAAATGTATAAAGGGCAGATGTGGTGAAAAATGTGACATAATTATAGTAACATACTGAAATAATTATACCTATATGATACATGAGGACAGAAGGGGAAAAATGTTAGGACACTTGATACGACACGACGAACTTATGAACATTATAATAGAAGGTAAGATAGAAGGAAGAAGGGGGAGAGGGAGACCGAGACATAGTTACATCAGGCAGATCAAGGAAGGAGTTGGTGTCGTGTCGTATCAAGAGGTGAAGAGACTCGCTGAAAATCGTAGTGAGTGGCATGAGCTCCACCGACAAGAGCGCAGCTCTTAAATAGGATAGATAGATACACATGATACATAAGAAATATACATATAATACATACATAAACATTACTTTTAATACATATATAATATATACTATACATTTTAAATACATTTTTATTTATCTCATTAATTTCTCCTCTATCGAAGTGAACAAAAATATCTTGGTGATACCAAAAGACACTTTTTCTTCATTCCCTGTTACCCTTTAGTAAAGGTAAATTTCAATTTCTACCTGCATGAATATGATTTATTATACCAAAACAAGACATAAACCTTACGCTACATCAACCAGCTGTTACCCAATGACGCGAGCGCGCACACACTCCCGCGCCCTCGCGTGGAATGCGGCCGCTCGTTGTGCAAGCGATGCGCCCGCGACGCGCGACGGTGGCGCACCCACAACGATGATCCACCTGCGCCCTGCGCGTGCGCTTCCGTGTGTCGTTTGCCCAATATTTAAAGGGTCGAGTGTCGTACATTCTTGCAATCAGCTACATACATAGATCGCGGCAACAAACAAAAAAAGCGAATTAAAATGGCTCGATTACTGATGCGATGGAAGCGTACCTATTGGTTTACTGAGACATCGAAAATAACATAACATAAACCTTCTGTGACAAATTACGTTAGAGATCTCCCATCACCAAACAGCTTCTAAAAAAAATTCGCTTTTGAACAGATTTATTTGAGGCTGTTAAATTTCCGGCTAAAGTTTAATTAGTCTTTAAGGTTTAATAAAAAAAGGACTAAGTAATTGCAATGAAACACTTTAATCTTTATTTATTTTTATTATAAAAAAAATTAAAAAGAAAAATTAAATATACAAAGAATTTACCTAATTGTCTTAGTTTAGATCATTTAAACACTTGGGTCTTATAATAGATATAAATTACTTTTATAGAATAATCTCAAAAATTAAATAACTAAAGTAAAAAACAGAATGTGAGCTATTAAAAGTTTGCATAGAAGACATCTCTGTACTTAAAATTGTTAAATTTCAAATCAAGCTATAAAAGCATGATCAAGTTATTTGCCTGCATTATATATATATATATATATATATATATATATATATATATATATATATATATATATATATATATATATAATGTATCATAATAATGATATTATATTTAGTACCAAGAAATAAATGATTAAACACGCGATCAAGAGTATATATAAAAAAAATATAAACACATCAAGAAATAACGTTTGCCGGTCACGCGCTACCGGACGCTGGATGCAACCAGAAACCCGTGGGATTGGCATACTAATACACTACACGAATACGTTGATATGCGCATCGAGAATGGAAACCATTCACACATTACTTTGTATAAAAATATGGAACGTATCTTGATACGAAGAGATTTATATCACTTTTCGAAAATTTTGACAAAACCATAGTTTTGGCTAAGTTTTCGGAAAAGATAACAAAATAAGGCTTTTCCTTGTAATAGACTTTGTAAAGATTAAAAATCTCTAGAAACGAAAATGAATTGCTCAATGTATGACTGAGCGCAAAACTCGAAAATGCTCGGACCAATTCGGCTAATTTGTCTTCAAATATTTATTTTTGCAGTCCAAAAAAAAATGCTAAAACCCTATTTTTCTTTTTCTTATACGCATAGAAGCTGTTCTTTATATGTTTTAAACAAAACATCTGTCAGGTTAACTATGTAGTAGTGGGGAGAAAGGGGTTATTAGCAATGGAGTTTGACAGCCCCATTGCTAGCAATATGCCCATCAGGTCAACCTCCACGTAGTTCCCCCTGGAAACCATCGTGAACAATTCTCGTTGAATTCGTCACGATGGGCTAACTGACCTGCATTCATTCTCACCTATCATCCTTCACTGGTGCCCCGCATGTGTATACCGATAGCGCGGGTGGGGTTACTATTTCATTATCTCCTATAAAAAAAAAAAGCTACATAATAGTAATATCAATTTATCCACAATAGCAAAGGTAAAGGAACTTAAACATACAGCCTTATCTTCAATAGAAAATTTTTATTTCCATGTTTTAACAAGGCAAAGTTAGTAAGCAATAATTTTTTACAAATCACAATTTTTTTATTGTTATCGTATTATAAAAGAAGGTTATTGTATTATTATTATGTATATAAGATCATTATGTAAACATTAAAAGATGTGAAAGGACGTTTATTAATCTAGTCAGTCAATTCTTAAAATAGTAACGAACAATTTAATAATAAAAAAAAATCGACTATTTGCCCGTAAACTTATTCTAATTTAGTTACTCACTACGAGTAGAAAAATAAATCTGACTACACAAAAAATTGTTTTTTCATTTACACCTGAAATTACAGGAACGCTCATTTCATCAGTGACAACTAAATAAACAAATAGGTATATAAAAGACCTAGACAGGCCTGTCATGTTCACTGAGGGAGCTGGTCGCTAGAATCATGTTACATACATAAGACGAGTTTGAAAGCGAATGAAACAAGAATGCAGGTACATAAGGATACAGATCTTCACCACTTTACCTACAAACGACTTTTAGAAAAAAAAAACGATACGAGGTTGGCAGCAGACATATCAAATGGAATTGCCATATTGTTCACTGCTGAACATAGTCCTCCCTCTATTGGGGTTTTGCTAGTAGTTGCCACGCTTGCTAAGTGGGTTGGCAACCGCAGTTAGGCCTTCGGGATGTTTTAAGAGGGACGCTACTGCCCATCTCTCGATCATTAAGTTCCCTTAATTGCTTTTTACGACACCCACGGGAAATAATGGGGTGGCCTATGCTATGCTGGGACCACACGGTAACATTTTATCATGGTCAGATGAATCTTTGTCCTCTGCTTATATGTAATTTCTGACTACAATATGAACTGTTTTCATTTTCAAGGAACCATAACTCCAAATAACTACAGTTATAGTTCTGTCGTAATAAAAAATCAAAGAGTTATGTATCAGTCTTCTCTTTCCACACTATTTGTACACATCTGGTTTTGTACAAACATCTTATTTTCAAATTGAGACTGATACTCTCCTTGCTTTGAATACTCATTATGCATTATCGTTTCCAATAACCATTCGTTCACTTTTCCTCTAAAGTGAAGCTTCTGAATTTCTGTCAATTGCTTGATGGAAGGTAACACGCTCATAAGGAACATGTAGTCAGGATCGTTTCGGGGTCCGTCTTCGATGGTCAATAACTTCGTTTCAATTAACTGTTTTGTTGCATTCAATTTCTTTAGTATAACGCCGAGTTTCTTCGAATCTTGATCGTCTATTTCACCTTTTGGTGTCATCTTTGCTTTCTTCGCCTCGATAGCATCTTCTCCGTCGTCACTATTACCTATGCTTTCAGTTTCAGATAGTGTTGTATTTCTGGATTTTTCCTTTGACAATAGTTCATCTTTTAGAAAACTAAGCGCGTCGTAATGCTGCCACCCAGACACGTAAGAGCTGTTTTCGCAAGTAGACTTTTTCAATTCTTTCCTGTACTGATCTTTAAGATGTTTCCAACGTTTCTTCAAAATAGTTTCTGTAACAACCAAATAAGAAATCCATAAAAAAGTATTTCGGTATACCTTAGGTAGGATAAATTATGATTAAAACAATATAAAATGCTACAGTATACTAACAGATATTAATTATCTATTGAAAATAAATCCAGTTATTTATAAATTTAATTAGTTTTTATAGAATTTTAAATAGTGAATAATTTGACAGCTCAACATAGACTTTAGATACATGTATATGATCGAATAAATAAAACAAAAACGCATAAATACAGTATCATATAAATAATATAATAATATTCATAACAGCGTACGAGCATTGCTCATCGCATTTTTTCTCATAGGAATTGCATACATGCCTTGTGATCTGCATACGAAATAACCTTCATAATAAACTAAGTATAATAATAAAATTTTATATTGCTAACGTGTCATCCTGTTTAGTACCTTTATTCTGGTTATTCCCTTATAACGTTTCCAATTATGTGCATGATGTTTTAGTGGTGGGGTTTATGGGAATGTCGCCATGGTGTTAGAAAGGATTACTCATCTTAAAAAATAGCCAAAATTCTTTACTGCTTTTTAAAATGCGTCTAAGTTATAGGATGCAGTTGTATTTTGAGATATTTGCTTGAGAGAGAGCACATAAATTAATTGTGTACAAAAAAACAGACTTCAGTTATGGAAAAGCCAGTTATATTGATTTAAAAACTAAACTACATGAGAAAATTTTGATAAAATTACTACGTGGCCAATCTGTAAGCATATCCATTTAGAAAAAAAAATTCCAAATCGATTTACAACTGAAGGAGTTATGAGGTAACGAACATAAAACAAATTATAACCGAATTATTATCACCTTCTTTTTTAAATCGGTTAAAAATAATTAATTACGCTTAATATTGTAATAATAAATAAAAAATGTATACATTTTCGTTTTATACACTTGTTTTTTAACCCTTCTTTGCATAATGGTGGAAATTTCCATCATAACATTGAATGTCCAAAAATTATATAGAAGAACAAGTTTACTTTAAATTGATCGTGCCCGGGTACCTTTTTAATGTCCATTGCAGAAAAAAAACAAAGCTGTCAAATTTATTTTTATAACCATTTTTCCTTTAATTTTTAACATAAATTATATCACCTTGATTTATTTCACCAATAAAAAAAATCATGCAAAGAAGGGTTAATATGTTTATTTGCTGCGTAAACGTTACATTTTAAATTATAATTTCCAACAAGATATGTCAATAATAAAGATACAAACTCGTCTAATATGACCAAATAAAACTGCCCTGACCTGACTCATAAAACTACTAACTGCTGTCTGCATTGATATTGGCATGATGTAGGTAGGTAGGACTCTAATTTTTGGACCTCCGATTGTTTCTCTGCCAGATGTCATATATCCAACACTTCTTGATAACTAAGGTAATAACATTACAAATAACAGATAGTCCCAAAATCGCATTATTAAGTGATTTCCATATTTATAAACACATTTGCCTCCCGATTGCTTTTTTCTTTTGATAAATTCACAACAACATATTCCTCGGCAATCGACCTCCCACGTTGATAATAAATGTCGCTCAATTATTAAGTAATAATGCACGAATGACGAATTATCTTAAAAATGCAGTGTAATCGAATGAGTACATAATTCGTAAATGCAGAGGGCGCTCGGCGACGTGGCGTGGCGGCACGCGGCGCGCTCGCAAGCACCAATTGCGCGCCAAAACAGTAATACCAAACGACACATACCGTCCATATTCATTTCAGTGGCCATCGACTGCCAAATCTTTCTGTGCAGCGCCTTCTTTTTATAAACGGGGTTGGAGGCATTCCACAGCGCCGGTTTATTGTGCACTCTCGCGATTATATCCTCGAATGACATGACGACTCGTAACAATCGACCGAGCGTTACTGGTCGCGTGGACGCGCGCCACCCGCTTCACCGCTCGTACCCCGCTCGGGCGGTAGGACTCCGCTCCCCGCTAGACGCCCGCCGCACGCTCGGTTCCCGCCCGACCCCCCGCTAACACACCCGCTCGTGTCAACACCACTCGTCGGTCCCCCGCCGCCGATTACCTGCTCCTCTCGCCGCTTTGTTTTTCCAGCGTGCAAAGGCGTCATTCAACGTGACATTTGTTTAAACTGTTTTTAATATTTTGTATATTTAGTTTCTAAACTATATTAACATCTTATCGAGACAATCCTAAAGAATTTATAATAATAAAATTATATTGAATCTAGCTAGGTACTTGAAAGGAACTTGAAACTATAATACTGGTCAGTCAGAACTTTAAAGTAGGAGAGTAATTTGTTTAACAACAGCCTTTGCATGACTAAGGCATATGTGAAATTTCAAATATCAGAAGCATCAAAACTAAGTATTCAGGATTAATAACGTACGAAGGGTATAATGGGTTTTTTTTTTATTTAATAATGTCCATTGTGGTGAAAGTTACCATTGTAAGATGTCCTTTGTTCCATGTTGCAGAAAAAAAGTAAATGTGCATTTTTTTTTTATATTGTCAAAGGACTAGTGTTGCCTTTAAATAATTACTTATGCTATTATCTTTAATCTAAACATAGATAATGAATTAAATCATTATTGTTTGTTTTAAAATTGGCTTTGACAAAATGTCAGAACACAGAATAATGAAGCTACTTGCGCTTATTTTGAATCCGAACACGAATCAAGCCATAATCATGTATTCTCTAACGATTAAAATTCATTACCGTCATTAATTTTGGTGGAAACTATCAGAACACTGATATTATGCCGACACTAATGTAATTTATGTCCAATTTTGAACCTCAACACTTAAAATCAATGTTTACATCTACAAAATAAATTGTAATCAGCTATCTTGTATCAGCGTAAGTTAATCAGTTAATGATCAAGACGGATATTTGAATATCTAGTTGTAATCGTTGATTATTATCGAGAACTCGAAAGGCTTGTCCCCTGACTGTACGGAGTTACCTCGGAGACTTGTTCGGTCGTAGCAAAGTCATAACATTTTACCGGTATATAAAGTTTTGCTCTCAAAATGGGAATTTGTCGTAAAAAAGCTGATATAAAGCGCTATGAAGTGAGGTTAGTTCCTCTAACCTCACTTCATAGCGCTTTATATCGGCATTGTGCTTACCAATAACGAAATGATTGCTGCTTACGCCGTAATATGTGTTATTTTATTTAGAAAAGAAAATTAAATAGAGGCAATTGCTGTTGTACCCGTTTGCATTTTTGTTGTATCTTGTTAGGAGAGAGACTGGCTGAAATCTAGCGCTGTGTAGCTAAACACATTGCATTGGGACACTCACAGCATCAGCTGAGTCAATTCCTTTCGCCTAATATGGTTTTTTGGTAATAAATGTTTCCTATTCTATTCTAAATGGTCTCAATACATGTACGAACAGAACTTCCTATAATATATTTTTTTTTCTTATACAACTTAAAATGGCAAACAAGCTGACGGCCCACCTGATGGAAAGTGGTAACCGTCGCAAATAGACATGAGCAGTACCATGGACATAACAGACTATACTGTTTCGTCCATGATATCCCCCATGCGTTGCCATTCCTGAGGACTCAGGTGTTATTCCTCTGTACCCAGTAAATTCACGCCATATCCTTCCTTCAAACCGAAACACAGCCATGCAAACACAACTGCTTCACGGTAGAAACACGAATGGGACAGAGGTACCCAAGCAATCGACTTTTGTACAAAGTCTCCCTCTGGTATAATAATAATTAATATAATATAATAATAATTTGATTGAAAAAGTACGGTGAGGATATCAAAGCTTAATAGTATATGTACAGTTTATTTTTATAGAAAGGTTAAACTCACGTAACAGTTTACAACTGTTTAGTGTACATTTTACGAAGACAAAATATGCTAAAAACACATTTGTATTTCACGTTTGTACCAATTACAATAAATTGTTCTCTAGTGTTGACATATTTAGTAACTCGATTGCGATGTATAAAGGACTGATTAGGGATAATGTGAAGAGTTCAATGTGATTTTAGTATATTCTTTTTTTTTTTTTGTACTTATCGCTGTATTTTGAAGCACGTTTGCTATGTATGCAATAGTAAAAAGGGGAAACTTTATTGGTTAAATAATTATTTACTACATAATATTTTATCTTATAAATTGTACCGTTTGTTTTCAAAATAAGAATAAGATACAAAATTTTTTTTTTATTATTATTATTATTACTTTAAGGGCCTAACCTTCTTCAGGTATATCAGCCCTAATAAAATTTTGTAATTTTTCTTGAAAGTATACACTTTTAAAAAGAAATTAATAACAATTAATAGATAATAGATTTGTTTTACTATTAGATACTATACTGTCTTATGATCGGTCCTATATTCGTTTGTTTAGATTTTCATTATATTATATTGAAATAGAACTATAAATAAGTTAAATTATTATCATAACAAACAAATTCCTTGTATACATCTCTATTGTACGCAATAATTAGTTTATTATTATTTGTTTTCTATTATTTTTTCTCGGCTTTACCTGGTACATACGCTCATCATATTATTTTTCATTCTCGAATTGTTTATTTAGGTTTTTAAACTTAGACTTCCGGGTTTGTTACATCAAGTAAGTCTATGAGTTTTTATTAATTAACAGTTAGGGAGATCTTCTTGTACGAATTTATTATTATTATTATTAGGAAACCGTGGCCGTGTGGTCCCGGCAAAGAATAGGTCACCCCTTCCTTTCCCGTGGGTGTCGTGAAAGGCGACTAAGGGACGGCGAGGGATGGGCAGCAGTGTCCCTCAAAAAATATATCTAAAGCCTGACTGCAGTTGCCAATCCACCTGCCAAGCGTGGCAACTATTGGCAAAAACCCCGAAAGGGGAGGCTTATGTTCAGCAGTGGAGGGTTAAGGGTTGATGTGATGATGATGATGATAATGATGATGATAATGATGATGATGATGATGATAATGATGATGATTAGGAAACATTTACTAATCCAAAATAAGTGTTAAGTGTCAAAGAAATGGGAGAGTATGAAAATAAAAAAACAGCTAAAAAATAAAGTAATTAAAATCGTTCAGTACACACGTTTAAAAGTGCCGACAGGTTCACCCATTCGCTTATTACTCCAACATAACCGTAAGGTCGATCTAAACATCTAACGGCACTAAACTGAAAGCACGGGGGAAGATGGCCGTCAAACATAAAATTGGTTCGAGTTTGCAGCGTATGTTTAGTTGCGAAATAACAGCGGCCGTAATAAATAGTGATTTGCTTCGGCATTCGCTCTAAAACGTCGTGGAAACGGCAAAAGGCGGGTATAGCGGCCTGCGCCGGCGCACCTCAAGTTGTGGCACAAAGCACGGAAGAGAGCGATAGTAAATTGTGTGAAAAATGTATATCAGAATTAGACTGTGTACAATCAGAGAATGGTATAAGTGCGATTTATTGGCGTTTTTTTTTTCGTTTTTGACATGCATAAGTTTTAAAAATGAAAAAAAGTACATTATTTTGAAATATTACAAAATATCTGACGATTTACATATATATTCTATAATTTGTGAATATATTTGTGTAACAATTAACCATAACAATTTTTATTTTCATTTCTGTTTAGCCAAAGATTGATTGAAACAGACTGCTATATTATATTGAGTGCTCTTTTTCTACTAAACGTTTTTTCTTTGTAATGCAGTCTAAAATAATAAATTAAAAAAAAATCGATAAATTTCCCGTTTTACTATCACAATGTCTCATTTATATATACTCTGTTATATATCAAGCAAAATAGAGCTTTATGTACATGTATGTAAATTAATATTTTAAAAATCTCTAATGTAAACAACATTAAAAACGTATCCGCTTATTAAATCGCTATCTTCTTTAACCTTGGACATGTACAAACAATCATTAGCGCTCGCGGCGTCCCGCGACATGTATACAGTCTGTTTACTATGTAAATGTTGCCGAGTTAATCTGCATAACACATGCAACAGAAAAAAGAGGTTAGTACAGCACCACGGTGTACTTAGCGGATGTGGTTAACGTGTAACGTGTCCTAGAAATGATATGCTACGACAAACACCTGACATTTATGTGGATAACAATTATTATTATACGCTCAGGTCCTTTTTTTATTACATAACCAGGCAAAGACCACAAACCGCTACTTGCTATAATGTAAGTGTACGAGTATACAATTACATCAATTGCCTACGTCTCGAGCTAGGATATGTTACGTTCGCAGTGAATTAAGACAGCGAACCTCTGGGATATTAGCCTGGATCATTGAAACGTGAGGCAGGTTTGAAAATTTTGTTTACTGACTAATATTATAAATGTGATAGGGAGTTTGTTTGTTTTTCACCTTATAGCGCCTTAACTGCTTTACCAATTTCTGTGTGTTTTTTTTTTATATATACGTACTATATGGGATCGAGAAAGACATAGGGTACTTTTACCCCGATCATGCATACGAAGTCGTGGGTAAAAGTTAGTTGTATAATGAAAAAAAAAACGGATACGTTACGATCACGCTGAAAAAAAATCTTGTAGAAGATGCTAAGTTAGCTCCGCTATAATATTTGCATATTTGCATACTCCCCCGCGTATTGACAAACACTAGCCTTATTGTATCAATCATTTAACTTCTTTTGAATTATTTGACAACTGTGATAAACAAATGACATTTCAATTTATAATTGAAATTACATTTTTTATTATCAATTGTTTTCAGAACGCATATATTAAAAAAAAATTCCTATATGGCAATCGGCCGCCATTTTTACAATCATTTCTGTCAGTATCATGTACTCGTATACGAAAAATCAGCTTATAACTTGAAAATTATTATTTTTCTACAAGTAATATTCATTGCATTTACATCGTAGTCACACCAAACGAATACCCATCGCGTATTTATGTATACTCA